GATTTCAAATAATCTCAAATTAATATATGTTAAGCAACATATCATGGTCTTTACATATATCAAATCAATAGTGCAAGATAAGCAAGATATCATCAAATAGAATTTAATTAATTTAAATCAATTAAATCTCTAGATTTCAAAAGTTGTCCAAATGATCTCAAATTAATTTATATCAAGCACTAAGTCATGGTCATACCATATATCTAGTCTAAGATGGATTACAAGCAAAACACAATTTACTATAATTTAAACCAAATTAAATCCATTTAATCTCTAGATTTGAAAACTCATCTAAATCAACCCAAATTAATATATATCAAAGATCAACTCATGGCCATGCCATTTACCAAGTCTAAAATGAGTTATAAGCAAACTACCATTAATCATAATTTCTCAAATTAATACACTACATGCATACAAGTTGTATAAGCATAAAAAACATGCAAGACAACAAACATATAACCCTATAACATTCCCTATCTCACTAGAGAAGTGTCTCTCTAGAATCCAAGGCAAAATCAGCACAAAATAGCTAACCCTTCGAGGGTTATGAAGAGGAAGATGAGGGGAACAAAATGTATTCCCAAGTTCAAGCTTGGAAATCAATGGAAGGCTCTCAAAAATCAAGGTCAAAGATTAAGGCTTTAGGCTCCATCCATGGAGGCTAGGGTTTTCTTTACAAAAGAGGGAGGAAATGAAAAATGATGAAGATGAAATGTGAGTGGAGGGGATAGAGATCCTCCACTCACTATGTTCTCTTACACTACCTCTCACACATACACTAATGCAAGATCAAATTGTGATCCTACACTTGTCACAAATCCAAGGCTCCATCCTAGGCTAAATCTCAAGCCTACACTTGTCAACCATCCAAGCCAACAAGTGCACCAATCCTAGGCCAACAAGTGGTTAAATCTCCACCCTCCACATGTCCTCATCCAAGGCCTCAAAGTGTTTCCACACACATCACAACAAGTGGACCAATGAGAGTGTGACACTTGTCACACTTTCCGAAAATTGCAAAAAAATCCTTTTTGAAAATATCTTCCAAATTAAATTGCAAAATGGTCCCTAAGATGAAAAATAATTACTTTACAGTAATTACACAAAAACCCCTAAAGTTTAGAAAATTACAAAAAAGTCATGCATCTATACCCTTTACAAGAAAAGTAAGCACTTAGCATGCTTTTCTACAAAAGTGAAAATACACATAGTATGGAATTTAAATATCGTGGATGCATACAAAACCAGAATCAAATCCGACAATGAAAAGTGAGGTTATGCCAACAAAGTGACAACCGAGAAAAAGACGAAAGTGAATAGTGTCACAAAAGTGAAAATGTGAAAATAACTCGGTCCTCAAAGGAAGTCGTCAATCCACTGAAAAGAGTCTCAGAAACCATTCCCGAGTACTCAAGATGACACTAAGTGACGAGAAACCGAACTCAGAAAGGAAAAGATTAACGAAAAAAAAAATATCCGTGAAAATCCGAGAAAAGGAAAGGATTGAAAATGACTGGGTCATTACAAATTAGGTTCCAGTTTCTTTACATGAGCTGTCTCTTACTTCAGAACCCAATCACCTACCGCAAAGTTCCGAAATCTGACATTTTTGTTATAACTGTTGCGCAGCTACTGCTGATATGAAGCAAGCCTAATTGCTGCATCATCCCTTTTTTCATCCAGGAGATTGAGACTATGTTCGACCTGCTGACTATTGTTTCCTTCAAGCAACAAGGATGTCCGAAGGGTTGGAACCGCCGCTTCGGTTGGAATCACTGCTTTGGATCCACAAGCCATGGCAAAAGGACTCTCCCCCGTGCGCCGCCGTGGTGTGGTTCGGTACGCCCAAAGCACCTGAGGGAGATTCTCGTACCATTTCGTTTTGAGTTTCTCTAGCTTCTTCTTTAAACAACTAAAAATGGTTCGATTAGTTATTTCAGCCTGTCCATTCCCTTGTGGATAACTGACTGCAGCTAGCTTTTGTACAATTCCATGCTCAGCGAAGAATTTTCTTCTACTTCTATTGTTGAGGTTCTTACCATTGTCCATCATAATAACTTTTGAGACCCCAAACCGGCAAATGATGTTATTCCAAAGGAAACTTTTTACCTACTCATGGGTCACACTTGAGTAGGCCTCGGCTTCTACCCATTTAGTGAAATAATCTGTAGCTAGTAGCACGTATTCCTTTTGTTCCATAGTCTTGGGTAAAGGGCCCACCATATCAATCCCCCATTGTGCGAATGGCCATGGATTTGCCATTGCATGCAAATCTTCAGCAGGTTGATGCTTCATGGGACCGTGGTGTTGACATTTGTCACATCTCCGAGTATACTCTTCTGCATTCCAGGCCAAGTACGGCCTGAAGTAGCCTTGAGTTAGAACTTTATGTGCAAGAGATCTGCCCCCAGAATGGTTGTCACAATCTCCATCATGGATTTGTTTCAACACCACAAGAGCCTCAGTAGGGCTTAAACATTTCAGGTAAGGACCTAAAAATGACTTTCGGTATAACTGATTATTAATGATGGCATATTTAGCTGCGGTGAGTCGGAGCTTCCGTGCTTCGGGCTTTTGGTTTGGAAGAATTCCATGCTTAAGGTAGGCTTCCAATGGATCAATCCAGCATGGTTCTCGAGGAATAACTAGAACCACCATTACTTCTTGCTGAGGATTAATGCTAGGCTCGTCCAAGACGTCAATCGGCATAATCCGAGTCAGATCTTCATTTAAGGATGATGCTGCTATGGCCAACTGATCTGCTTTGGCATTCTCAACACGAGGTACCTAACAGAATTCGATTTAATCGAATCCCCGTGTAGCGTTCTCTACAGCTTCTTTATATACTTTCATTCTTTCCTCTTTAGGATGGTACTGACCTGTCACTTGATTTATAACAAGCTGTGAGTCACTAAAAACCTTAAACAATGTACCTGGAGGTTGCTGGTCAATTAAAGACTAGCAAGTAATGCCTCGTACTCGGCCTCATTGCTCGTAGCTGGGAATTTCAAGCAAATAGACTGCTGCAACTTGGTGCCTTCGGGTATTGACATAACAACCCCTACCCCTGCACTTGTTTGATTCGAGGAACCATCGACCCGAAGCTCCCACTTCGGGAGTGTCTTCATATTCGAGACGAAAATCTGCTACGGCTTGTCCCTTGTGCGACACCTTCGGCTCATAAGTTATATCGAATGAACTAAGCTCGATAGCCCATTTGGTTCTCCCAGATAGATCAGGCTTAGAGAGTATACCCCATATAGGATAGTTGGTGAGTACTACAATGCTGTGAGATTCAAAATAATGCCGAAGCTTCCTCTTGGCATAGACCAAGGCTAAGATGATTTTCTCTGCTTTGCTATATCATGTCTCTGCATCCGTCATTGTCTTACTTGTGTAAAAGACTGGGTATTACCTCTTTCCTTCCTTTCTAATCAATGCTGCACTTGTCGCTATACTAGAAATTGCCAAATACATAATAAGAACCTCTCCGGGTTTTGGAGCGGATAGAATTGGTGGTTCGGCCATGTAACCTTTCAACTGATTGAGGGCCTCCTACTGCTGAGGTCCCCATATATCTTTATTCTTAGATCTTATAGCTTTAAAGAATGGTTTGCACTTATCTGACAATCAGGATATAAATCAACTGAGGGCTGCGATCCGACCGGTAAGAACTTATACCTCCCTGCGATTTTTTGGTTCCCGATTCTGGATGAGGGACTTAGCCTGAGCCGGACTTACCTCTATCCCTCTTTTATTTATTATGTGGCTGAGGAATTGACCTGTTGATTCCACAAAGGAGCACTTAGATGGATTCAGCTTCATATTGTACTTCTTCAAGGTATTAAAAACTTCCTGGAGATACTTCGGATGATCTTCCTTCTTCACACTTTTAACCACCATGTCATCTATATACGCTTCAACTATCTTTCCCAACAGATTGTCAAAGATCTTGTTGACAAGACGTTGATAAGTAGATCCAGCATTCTTCAGTCTGAAGGGCATGACACTGTAACAATAAGTCCCCATTTCTGTAATGAAAGCCATTTTTTCTTCATCTTCAGGGTTCATAGGAATTTAATTGTATCCTGAGTATACATCAAGGAATGTCAGCCTCTCGTAGCCGGTGGTAACATCAACCATCTGATCTATCTTGGGCAGAGGGAAGCTATCTTTAGGGCAGGCTTTGTTAAGGTTGGTATAGTCTACACAAACCCTCCACTTTCCATTCTTCTTCTGTACGACCACCACGTTCGACAGCCACTGTGGATATTATACTTCTCGAATGAAACCTGCTTGCAACGACTTGTTCACTTCTTCAGCTATAATGTGATTGTGTTCGGGGGCAAACCTTCGGTATTTCTGCTTAACCGGTTTGAACTCCGGATCCACCTTCAGACTATGGTAGGAAACTAAGGGATCGATCCTTACCATGTCCGAGTGATCCCACGCAAAAGCATCTGCATTGCTCCGAATAACATCAATTAACACCTCCTTTTCTTCGGACGTGGATGAAGAGCCTAAATAAGTGAGCTTTTGCGGGTTGCCGAGGATAACTTCCACAACTTCAAAGGTCTCCTCGGTGGGCTTCACAATTTCCTCTTCCTCCTCTACCTTAAGATACTTGGGCAGAGGGCTCTGTAATTGCTATTTGGGTATATTTTTGGAAGCCACACCTGGTTGCTGCTGAGTAGACACCTTCTTTGCTTTAGCCTGTGTCAACATATAGCATTCCTTCACTGCGACTTGATCGCCCCATAGATTAATCACTTCTTTCCTGTCTGGAGATAAGCACCGCATCACCTGGTGAGGGTGGACGGAACTCCTCTCATCTGGTGTATCCATCCTCTTCCCATGATGAGATTATAAGAAGGATGGATCTCTGTTAAAACAAAGTTCTCCTTCAGAGTCCTCTTCGCCACGGTTACGGACAAGTCTATTACTCCAAGGGGATCTACTCTTGCGCCATTGAATCCCATTAACGGGTTGGAGGTAGGTCAAATAGATGATGACGGGATCTCTAACTGCTCAAAGACCGTCTTTTTGATAATGTTGGCGCTACTTTCTGGATCTATCAAAACCCTCTTGATCATACAATCGGCCACTAAAAGACTGATGACCAATGGATCCTTGTGGGGGAGTTGAACTCTGGATAGGTCGCCATCTCCGAATCCAATACTGATGCTACCCGAAGCAATAACATTGACCGAGGATATCTTCCTGAGCTTGTGGGCTACCTTCAATCTGGATTTGTATACCCCCTCGGACTCTTGATCATCTTTAGACCTGCCATGTATTGCATGAATGACTTTTACTTGCGTACCTTCCACCTTGCGGGGATAGACCTCGTGGGGCTTTGCATACTCCTTTGTCATGAGGTAATCCGCTAACTCACCTCTGGCGATCATATTCTCCACCTATCGCCTGAGGGATCTGCAATCATTGGTTGAATGCCCATAATCTCAATGATAAGCACAATGCTTGCTTTTGTCCCTTTGCTCCAGGGGTTGCTTTATTGGCTGCGGAGTTATAAACTTCATCTTATTCTCTTAGAAGAGCCAGGCCAAGGTAGTTCGGAGAGGTGTAAATCCTTCCTCTACCCTTTGCCTCTTTTCAGGTGCCTGGGTGATTGGCGTTGAGGAACGTTGGCTTTTCTGAATCTTTGAATTTGGAATTCTTTCTCGAGGCTTGTTCTCCACCGTGACGAGGGTGGCATGCTGCACTCGGTGGGCTATATTTTACTCGAGCCGAATGTAGATCTGGGCCCTGGCATTGAGAGTCTTCATATCGGGAGGAGAATACTTGACTAAAGAAGTGTGGAACTTCGTCCCCTGAATCATCGCAAGTTTAAATGTCTCTATAGCAGTTGCGGGATGACAATCTGCTATTTCTGAGGCTTCTATGTTGAATCTTGATAAGAAACCCTGTAATGTTTCCCCCTTCTTTTGGCTTACGGTGAAGAGGCTAGCAATGCTCTTCTTTTGCTTCTTATTTCCGCAATATTGTGCCAGGAACATAGTGCACAGAGTTACGTAATCCGGGATGGACTTATGCGGTCTATTCCTGAGCCACTCTAGTGCTGCTCCTATCAAACTGGTAGGAAAAACTCTACACATCCAAGGGTTATTACGATCATCCAAAGCCATCTTTTGAGTGTAATGATCTAGGTGCCGAGAAGGATCCCTCGTTCCATCAAACTGGGTGAAAGAAGGCATGGTAAATTTCTTGGGCCTCTCAACCAGATACACATCATCAGTGAAAAGAGTTTTGACCAAGGAATTTTTGTGTTCTCTAGCCATCTCAGTAGGTGTCTGAATCTTCAGGAGTCCTTTCTCATCAAAGGCATCCTGAACACCTGCACCATCTGGGATTCCATTGGACCACACTGTGAGCTTATGGCTGGATTCGACTTACTCATCCTGTGTGCGACGAGGGGCGTTATCTGAAGCCGCAGCCTTGGATCTTGCCCTCCGTTGTTGCTGAACCTCATTCGGCTGAGCCTCATTAGGTTGTGCCCCATTAGGTGGAAGTCCAGTAATTGGAGGAATATTCTGATTAGGGGGTGCTGTTGTGTCACCCACTGGTGGCGATGGTGCCAACTGAGCCATCATCATTTGCAGAGTGTTATTCTACTGTTGAAGCAAGGCGATCTGAGCCACGCTTGCTTCGTTTGCCTGACGAAGTACGTCAAACTGGTGTAGAAACTCTTCACACATCTTCTGTATCAACTCCATCTGTTAATTTGTTGAAGATCCTCCGTTCAACATTCTGGATGGTAGTTGTAGGATTCACCTGTGAAACAAGAGTGGGAATATATTTGCACACGGTTCCCACAGACGGCGCCAAAGTGTAGGTGCAAAATTTCGCCTAACCAATTACGATCGAGAAAAAATAATACAACACACTCAACAAACAATAAGAATAAACAAGAGCAGTGTCTATTGAATAATTGAATTGCTTGCCCCTTTATTGGAGGTCTAGGCCTCTATTTATACACAAAAGTTGGTAGAATTATGGTAGGACTCGCGTTGCTTGTCCTCCAATTCTTTCCATATATGACTTACTTTACAAATAGAGTTCTTTCCATTGTATGATATTTCCTATATAGAATTTGCTTTGTATAAAAACTTTCCTTCCGGGTTGACTCTTTTGTTAAATAGGACTGAGCCATATTTAATTATACTTGGGCCGGATGCGATTTGGTGTAAGTGACTTGACTAATGGATCACAGCTTCAGCGGTGGTGATGTTGGGCTGATCGATATTCTTGTCTGGCCTTGGAGGCCCAACATAAATGGTAATGGGTTAAAGCACAACGTAACTTGGGCTTGATTCGGATGGGTTTCTGAGATCTCCTAAATGCAAATTTGTATAATAGTGACGTGTCTTATTCTTATTGGAGGGAAATTTTTCCCTCCACAGAAGTGATTTTATAAATTGGTTTATTATCTTTTCTAATGGCAATCATACTTACTTACATTATAGGTAATGGCATTTTATTGAACAAAACAAAACTCTAATTGGTTTTCCCTCAAATTTTCATCACTTACTTCCTGGAAGGCAGAATGGCAGATCAAAGTATAGGATTGTAACAATGTAAAAAGAAGATTTAAGTCTAAAATCAAAAACTCAATAATAATAATAAACAAAAACTCTAATAAAAAACTTTATTAACAAAATAAACAAAAAGATCAAGAAAAATCATTCTCATCTTTATAGAGAATGTGCTTGTGTGGTTGTGTATGTGTGTGATATACATACATACATATATATATATATATATATATATATATATATATATACACATACATATATATTTATATATATATAGCGAGAGATATTAAGAGAAAGAAAGACCTGCTTGGGCACCTTGAAGACTTTGAGAACTTCAACGATTGATCGACCAGGTTCACTTGCTGCTTACTCCCCTGTCTAAAAGGAGAGTCGCCTACGCCCTTCTATTAGTCCATCTATGGGGGGATCAAAGGTATTGGATAACTTGCGGGAGAGACGCATTGAGACCCCTTTCCATTGAGGGAAGAAAGTCTGGAACTCTGCTCTCGATTCGGTCAATCAATCAACACGGGAAGAGAAAGAACCAAAGAAGGCAATGCTTGGGAGATACTAGAGTGGTGAAATCTTGTATTTCTTGAATAGATTCGAATTCCATCTATGGATAGGAACCGGACTAGTTGGCTTGGTTGGGTTGAAAAGGCTGCTAATAAAGTGTATATGGTCGAAGAGAGATTTAAACCAAAGAGATTGTGAATGGATTGAAGGATTGGGGCTTCAGTGACACCGAATATAGGGAGAGAAAACTAGGGCACCATTTTCCTCTTGAGAGAGAGCAGAGAGAGAAAGCAAGGGCATGGATCTTATTTGCCTTAGGCTATGAGAGAGCATACTTGCCTAGGAGTGTTATTTGAGTTAAAGCCCAAAAAAATATCTTTCCAAAATTTTGGGGGCGGGAAATATTAGCGCCAATACTGCTTTTAGTGAATTTTAACTCTATAATAATTAATACCCCTTATAAGAGAATATATATGACCCAAACGATTTATTTATTATTATTATATTACATGGTGACGTCTAGGTCTTAAGATTTTTTTTATTTTTTATTTTTATATCAATTACCAAAAAAAAAAAATTAGTTCTTATAAAATCATCTCTCATTAATCCAAAGGTAATGGATATAATTCAATTAATCGTATTACGTACTCAATAATAGATGATGAAGACTTGGTAACAGCCACGTACTCACTGATAGATGATGAAGACTTGGTAACAGTGATGGAATATATATATAGATATATATATATATATAACAACTGTAAAATTCAAAAGACAAAGAAGAAGAAAGTTATTCAAAAATGCACGTTAAAAAGAAGAATTTTAAGAGTAAAAGTAGAAAAATGAAAAAACTTTAAAAGGAAAAAATTAAAAAGTTTTAATTATGAAAGGAAATTTGACTCTTCTATTATAGAAATTTTAATTTTTTTTAATTTTTTCCATATATACGAAAAAATAAAGAGATAATTTTAGGAATCACAAAATTTAAGGGGGGCACTGTATAATTTTTTTTGTATATATGGAAAAAAAATTAAGAAATTACCACATATATTATAGAGTGCGGGCCAACTCGGGGCACGTGCCCCCCCTAGGCCTTCATTGGCTCTATCACTGTTTGCTAATAGATTGATCGATTTGGGATAACTTTACTCAATGATCGATGATGGAGAAGTTGGCTTGACTTGCTATAAAATTGTAATTAATTTATATATATATTTGTCAAGAATGTTTGAAAAAGTTTAATTATTAGCTATTACTAATAAATGTATTTATAGAGACTGTCACGTTTAATTATTTAATTATATAATGTATTTAATTAATATATAATTTATGTTTTAACTTTAGCCATTATGCGAAAAATAAGAAAAACAAAATTCAAAATTTATCTAAAAGTAAAAACATTTTGTTAGAAAAGTTATAAATATTTAAATTCATTCAAAAAAAACAATATATATATATATATATATATATATATATATATTAATTTAAGACATTAAATTCCATAACATAAGTAGTTTTGTTTTTAAAATAAAGATTCTTCAATAATGCTTTGTTAGGTAAGAGAGAAAAAAATTGATGTATGCAGTTCACTTGAACAATGGGCGATCAATGATGGAAAAGAAGTTGCAGAGACTAGAGACAATCTGATATAGTGATATACGGCATATGCTAATATGGGTTTTGAACTTTTGATTCTCGTAGTTGCAGAGACTAGAGAAAGATATAGAGAAATATATGCATGCTTGGTTTGTAACTTTGAAAGCAGTTTTTTGGAATTCAGAGAACAGAAAACTATTTTCAGGGAACTATAAAAGACAGTTATTCGAAAATAGGCCTTTATAACTGAGTTTTCTGAAAACAGTTCTCAGAATACTTAACCAAGCCGAATTTTTTGTACAGTTTTTTGTTTTTAATTTTCTGAAAACAGAAATTTGTTCTCAGAGTTATAAACTAAGTAGACCCTAAGCTTGCTTGGTTTGTAATTCTGATAATAGTTCTCAATAATTTAGAGAACATAAAAATAGTTTTTAGAGAACAATAAAAGACAGTTCTCTGAAAACAGACCTTTTCATATAGGTTTTGAACTTTTGATTCAGGAGAAAAATCTTAAGGGTTGAGAACAAGAATGGAGATTGGAGGCAATTAGCAAGGTTAAATGATATGCCCTAAATTTGTTTTTTTTTGGTGGCCATCATCCATAGACCTATCAATTTTGAGGCACCATAAATTTTGTTTGTAACTTTGGTTTCCTGGGCTCGGCCTTTTTGTTTTACTACGGATTGGGCGAGCTGAATGGCTGATAGCAAATAGTAGTACTAATTATTATTATTTTTTTTTGG